AAAAAAAAAAAAAAAAAAAAATCAACAACAAGCTGGGACATGGCTCTGCCAACCAGTACGAGGGAGCAGCCTCGTCTGGGGGGATCCCACCACCCACCCCGTCTCTATATTTAGGTGAAGATGTAGAAAGCGGCACTTCCCTCCTCCTCCTCCCGTCTCCCCTCTGAGCCCCCCCAGCCAGCCAGTGAGGCGGAGGATTACGCAAGCAACCAGGAAAACCAGCGCTGGTGAAGCTCAAACCTCGCTTTGCATCAGCCTCAAAGCGCAGCAGGCGCAGGGACCTGGGGGGGGATGCTGGGGACAGGCTGCGGTGACAGTGATGCTGCTCTGGGGTGACAGGGGACCCTCCAGCCCCCCCCAAAAGGAGTCACGCTGCCAGTACGTAGCCAGGGCAGAGGGATGGAACCTTCCTCCCCGAGCAGCCAGAGGCAGAATTACCTCAGGGGTAATTACCTCCCTGCAGGGGATCAGCGCCCTAAGACCTTGGCTACCTTGCCTAGCAGGTGGCCTGCAGGGGATCACGGTGGCTAATCCCAGCCCGGGAAGGCCAGCGGGCAAGCTGCTGAACCACCCTGGGTTAAGGGGCTGAGCTGGGACTCTGCCTCGCTGTGCAGGATCCAGAACTGTCAGGAAGAAGATGAAGGAAGCAAGAAGGAAGCTGGTACACCCCCCCACCCCCAAAAGCATCTGCTCCTTTGTCTTCACAGAGAAAGAGACCCTCCTCCTCGGGGCTACTCACATCCACCACGAGGAAGCCGGCCGCCTGGACGTGGCGCCGGGCCATGACGGAGCGGCCCAGCAGGTCCTTGCTCCTGTTGCTAAAGTTGGGGAATTCCCACCGGAGAAAAGCGACCCTGGGAGACACACGAGGGAGAGGAGCTGGCAGCAGCACCCAGATTGCGGTGGGCGCAGCAGCAGAAGGGTCTGTGCCACCAGGATATGGATTTATCCTGCCAGAGCCGTTAATCCTGCCTCTGAGCCACCAGAGAAGCAGCTCAAGCACCATTTCTCCACAGCCCAGGGCTGGCAGCGAGCTGAGCGGTGTGGTGCTGCCTTTTGCAGGCAGGGAGGAGGCAGCTCAGTCCCCAGGGCCCTGCAGGCAGCCCAGCTCCATGGCAGACAAGAGCTGGCAGAGGCTCGGAGAGAAAAATCACGGCCCTGACCAGCGACTGGCCCCCTCCCCTGCTGTGTCTCCACCGGCCTGGCTGCAAAATGTTACCCCACGTGGAGCTGGCACAGCCCTGACCCCCATTTCTGCCCTGTGCCTGCGCCCCCTCCCACTCCCAAATGAGGGGGGATGCAGCTGGACACAGCATCCTTGGCATGAGTCACTGGCCACGGCAACTGAGAGGTGTGGAGCCCACAAGAGCCTTCCTCCTCCTCCTCCTCCTCCTCTCCCTGCCTGTGTAGTGGGGCACAGCTGAGCCCAGACCCACCTCCTGGCACCTGGCGGCAGTGGCTTTGTCCCTTCCGAGTGGAGCAGATGGGGAGCAGCAAAATCCTTTAAGGGGAGAGGTCTGTTTTCACTGTTCACCACCATTTCGGCATCTGCACGGAGAAGAGGGAACACGAGGACTCTTGAGACCCACCTGGACGCTGCCCCCACCCTCTCCCCTGTGGATGCTGATGCAGAACATGCCTGGTCCCACCATTTCCTTCCCAAAAATACCCTCCTTGCTGCAGCCACGGAGCAGCTCCGTGCACACAGCCAGAGTACAGCACCCTCCTCGCACAGGGTCTGCTTCCCAAGCATCTCCTCTGGCAGAAAATAGGTCTGTAGTGTGATTTTACCCCCCTGTGTCCCACGGGAAGGGGACATGGGGCTCTTGGACCACAAAAGTTGCTGTGGCAGCCGTTTGGCCGGTCCTTGCCACAGAGCGGGCAGGGACCGAATTTGACGGGGCTGCAGGGAGCTGTGGGAGCCAGGGGCAAGGGAGCGCAGAGCTCAAAGCCTTTCACTGCCCTCAACGCTGCTTGGCTGCAGGAGAAAGGGTTTTCCTCCTGCGTCTGCTGCCCACAACCAAGCCCTGGGCTGCCCTTCCTGCTCTGCCTTGAGAAGCAACGTGTGGGAGGCAGACAGGAACAAGACAGGTGGCTGTGATGAGGAGGCAGAGCGGTGTGAGGCTGAAGAACGAGGCAGGGATAAAGCCTGGTAGCCATACCCAAGCCCTCAAGGTCAATTCCCTGGCCCTGGCAGAGCCCGGTGAGGTCCTACTGGCGCCCGTTGGGGCGGGGAGAGGAGGCACTCACCCAGCTGCCAGCCATAGCGGGTGCGCACGTCGAGGCGCCCGTTCTCGCTGCTGCCCAGCACCCTGGTCAGTGCCTCCCGCAGGCTGCTCTGCAGCAGGGTCACCCTCTCCTCCGCCGGCTCCGCAGCAACCAGCATCTCCGATGGCAGGAACGGGCCCCGGTAGTCAGGACTTTCCAGCTTGGCAGCAGCATTGATGTGGATGAGCTTCAGATGTAAATTCTGGGCCTTGGGGGACTTGTTGCCTGGTTGGGAGGAGAGGAGCTGAGATGCAGCCCAAACCCCCCCACCCCCCCGCA